AGTGTCCCCTCAACTTTACCCAAGATGTAGCTATAAATGTGTAAATTGTTAGAAAGTGTTAAATGACATAATCAATTCACATGGGACAGTTCAGTTCGTTTAAATAGTAACGTTCTAACTAGACTTTGATCAGATAAATGGTTGGACCGGGTCATCTTAGCACTGGAATTGACAAAATATTCAATTTCTATCCAAATCAAGAACTTCCTGCATGTTAGCATCGACATTGTGATAAATCACTTAAATTTCCGAAAATCAATAATGTTATTGTTATACCAAAGTATTTTCAATAGAATCTGGAAAATCTGAGGAAGTTTAGACGAAATTACAAACTTTAAACAATGTAGATATTCTAGCAGCCTGGCACTATTGCTACATGTTTTCAAGCGTTCGTTTAGTTAGTTCGTTTTATTTAAATGGTTAGCATGTATGACAGCATCTTTTTCAGGAGTGGTGAGAAATCAACATTTTTCAAGCACTTTTCAGTATTCACTAGTAAATTTGGTGGCATCAGACAATAAATTTCTAGCACTTAAGTTAAAATGGGACCTGGGCACACAAAAGTTCTTAATTAAAGATATCAATTTGTCAATGTGGTCATTTAAAATGAATACTCAATAAAATTTGCTCAATCTTCATCCAAATCGTCATCTCTAATCAACATCTCCTAAATCCCCCCCCCCAAAAAAAGCCAGGAAAAGTCTCTCCTTTGTCATACTGGGCCCGGATGGGAGAAAGGGGATTGAGCATTTCCTTGCGAAAGCAATGTTTGGATCAAATGGAAGTTATGCCAACCATCTAATCCATTCACGTACTCAAGGAGAGGACCAGTGAAAGAATTTCGGTAAATGACGTCACAGCATGTCAGTAAATGCAAAGAATTTCTTCCACTGGAGTATAAAGCTCTACCGGTTCTAAAAGGCGTACTCATTGACGAAGGCTACTCCTTGTTCGCTTAACCTGTACCGTACGCTTAGGCTGGCATTGCCGGGGCCCAATGAGTTTCAACGGTATGTGGATCCTGTGCACCCTGGTACTGTTCGCACAACTCTCCAGAGCACTAGGCGCTTTTGGTGACGATATTTCGCAAGATAATGAGGACAACAGATTCGCAGGTTTGTCGCTTCCCATATATTGAGATGAACTAGGTGATTTTTTTCTCGGGACTTTGTTATTTTCCTTTTCAGTTAGTTACAAACGAGGGATTTTAAGAAGTACTATTCACGTTGTGTTTCATCTTACTGAAGTCGCAGTATTTCTCTATTTTTAGCTTTATAAATGCATTCAGTATCCCACAAAGCGGGAATTCCCTGTGCAAACACACAGTAGACAGACAAGTAAAGTGGGTGTGGCTTTATCTGCGGCCACGCGCTCTAGCAGTTTAAGATGGATCTTTCTTGCAGTTTAAGATGGATCTGAAAAATCATCTCTTCAATCAAGGATTAATAGTAACTTCAATGTATTAACACCCGAAGTTGAGCACCTTGATGGATCTGTGTGCTCTGTAAAGCGTCATTATTATTGCTATAGAAATCCTCCGATTTTAATAACATTTTACATACGCCCTAGGGGGTTGGGGACCCTCCAACGTGGGACCTTGTGCCAAGAATGTCTCGGAAATCATGTGATTTGATCATTCTAACTGCCACGCATCACCTGGTCGAACCCCCGTGACTTTTCCTAACTTTTCCCCACCGAACTATTGAGAGGGGCGTCAATCTTGGTATCGCCCTGCCAGTGACTTAAAGGGGGGGTCCATATCCATTCCCATATGTTTGTGCACAAAACACTGCTATATTATGCCTACTCCCCCCTCTAAAATACTCCCACCCTTTGGAGGATGTATCAGGCCAATGTCTGGGATGCTTGCCATGTGTCTGGAAGCTTGTGGTTGGCGCCAGCACTGTAAACAGATAGTGTGTTGACCTGGAGTCCTGGATAAGCCCTTGTGATTTTTACAGGGCCAAACCTGGGTGTGGAGAGGCTGGCCTCGTGGAATTATTTTACTCTGTCTAGGCCCAGCCGTTGTGCTATAAGGGCCAAGGATGAGTGAGTCACGGTGATTTAAGCACGTATAGCGGGAATTTCCCGTGTATTTTTTGGTATCGCCGATATATTTCCGTGAAGTTGTTGAATTCAGCAACCCCGACTGCAGACCACGCCCCCCAAAAAGGCATTTCCCCCGCAAAACACACTGAGAAGTCTTTCTAGGAAGGCCTCCGTCTGATTATTTTGAAAGAAACAGAAAAAACATTGAATAGGGATCGTTTAACAAATTTGAGACAATTATGGAACAACGTTCTGCATAAATGTAAACAATTGACGTAGGTGCCTCTCCGGGATCACCCCACTGCAGACCACGCCCCCAAAGAGAGGACACTTCCCAAAAAAAACATTCTGAAAAGTCTTCCTGGGAAGGTTTCCATCTAAATTCTGAAAAAAAAAGAAAAAAAAGACATTGAATAGGGATCGTTTTATCCGCAAAATACATCTGGGTCAATTTTATAACATTGTGTTGCAATTGGACACGGAGCAAATATGACGTTTTCGAAACGCTGAGGAATTTCCTTCGGTGATGTCATTTTTCCATACTTTTCATTCAGTTATGGGCCAGGTAACAAAGGATATATTCGATGTACAGAGTGGAAACGTCACCCTGCAACTCAATGTTCAAGACACAACAGGCACGATGGAGTTTTGGCTTCTTGACTTCCAAGAATATAGATTTAATCTTGACGCCTTGCCTGTTGATGAGGTCACAGGTAAGTCCTGCAGGTTTCTCCTGCTCTGATCATTTTCTACACATCATGCACAGCCACATTGATTCAACCATTTAATATGTTGGTGGCTTTTACCTGAACCAATAGGGAACTATTGGTTTCTTACTTCACCAGTCAGAAAAATTGACTCTTTCTATAGCAACCATAACATTATGGTATGGGTACACAAAAGCTCAAATGTTATTTGACCTACAGGGACAACACTTGATGCCGCTGTGCACACATCTATGAGACTTGTCTGAAAAAAAATGAAGTTTTAAAGTACATGCTTCGACATTTTCTCAGCTAAATTCCACTTTTTAGGACATCTCTCTCTGCTGTTATAACATTTGAAGGGAACATTAGTGCCATCTGTATATGGAACTCTTTCCTTTGCCTGTCTTCAATTCATTATCAGGTAATTTGTTGAAGGACAGAACCTCTGCATGCTCCAATGTGTACGAAGATGCAGACTGGGATACTTTCTTCAACGACAGTTACATCCAGGACAAAGGGGACAGCAGTCTAACGTCGAAGAATCTTTTTACAACAATTAAAAGGGGAGATATTGACAGTAAGAATGCCTCGTTGGCATCCTATGAGTATAATGAGCACATTGGTGGTACATCAACCCCTAAACTTCTGGTCAAGTTTAGCAGCATATGAATGCTTTATACACTTTTCTAAAATAAAATAAATATGCATAACTTTATAAATTAATTACAGCAGAGAGAAATTAATTACAGCAGAGAGAAAGTTGTGTGTTTACTCGAGCATATTCGTTGTATATTTATTGGATAGAATTCCTTTATTGTATGTCAAATGCAATATCTGGAGTAAATTCTTTTCCATTTTGCTACATCAGCTGATGGCATCATGCGAAATGACAAAATCATCTTCCAAGGAGATATGGCAACATTCGCAAACTGCAAGGACTCCAATGACGAGGAATACGTCTGGGAGATGACTGCTATCACCAGCGACGAAATTGAATACAGGACAAAGTTATATGCCACCAACATTAGACCAAAAGATCCCGAGGATCCGACAGGAGGTATGTTTTTTAACTTTCTCCAGCATCTAACAATATGGAAATAATGTGATCATGATTTAAAAACTGAAATTACGAATTAAGGAGTCTGAATGATATGCATGACTACTCCACTTAATGAAATAATTTTTTAGGATTCAGGACCATAATGCTTACCTTTGTGGAGTTGAATTCAGCAATAAGGTACATGTATAATGGGTACAGCCAATGGAGTATCGGACTTCATTTTGAAACAAAGTATCAGAGATTATACAGAACTGTCATAAAAATTCTTACAGTAAATACAATTTAACAAGTTTTGGTTATTGGTCACTAGGGGTGTCGTTTGTACAGTCACACATTGAATTGATCTGGAGAATATCCAGATCAGTCTTGGCCAAGTTCTTAATCAGTTCCACTGCCCTGATAAAACCGGTACTGGAGTTTGCTAGAGTGTCGGCTGTTTATGACGAACAGAACAGAGTTGTACCAACCCAGTCAGCACTCCATATCAGGTAAAGTAACATTACGTTCTCAAGAAGTTTGTCTATTATGCCATGGGTTAAAAAGACACTGGAAGAGAGAATAACATACAGTTTCACAAGACAATCCCTGTCCTGATCGTAACCGGTGGATTGGTTGTCCTTTTCTGATGATGCTGGTAAATTACAATTTGGTTTTAGAAGCATCTTTTCAACCTTTCCCTCCTTTAAAAAAGTTGCATTAGTCGGGATGACTGTTTTGTATGGCAGACATAAATTTCCAGTTGGATTGGAGGTGCTATTTCCAATGCAATCATTCACGCTTTGATGCACTTTCCTTTAATCGAGGAGCTTTGGTTCATCAAAGCTTGAAAATATACTTGTAAGGTAATATCACAAATTACTTGCAATTAATGTGCGATTTGCCCGCAGAAAAGAAATTACAGGGATTTTAAGCTTCACATTCCACGTGTTTTGCAGGTTTCGGACTATTGTCGATGCAAATGATCAGATGGTCAATTATGAGAACAACAGCATTACATATTTACCAGAAAATGTCAACCATGCTCTGAATACGATTGTCTACCAACCAGTGGGCATACTAGATGAGGCACCAGCTTGTGATTTTGTATTAGATGAAGGAACTCGAACACAGATGCAGTGTCAACAGGTATGCTATGTTTATGTGACTCTGATGTAAAGCAATTCATTTTTGTGAATGTTCATTCAGCAGGTATACATAGATGACAAGGTAAAAGAAAAATTATTATTCGTATGCCGGGGGTGAACAGCCTCGGAATAAGATTTTCAAAGCAGTCTCAAAAAGCAAGAAAGGTAAAAATTTGAAATTTTGAATATCCAACAGAACAAGAGCAAATTATGACTTGCTCAGAATGAGCTGCTGAAAATGTGTTAAGAAACTTCTTGTCCATTAATATTTGACAAATATTGCACCGTGGTGCTAAACAGTGTGTACATACAATGAAACCTAATTGTTTTGCAGGCTTGGGAGTTTAAGATGATACTTGATATAGACACATCCACCCAAGTGGACAATCGAGTGCCAATTGATGCTAGTGGAACATTTGAATTTCTTTACATGGCTTACAGGTATGTGCTTATCTCCAAGAGTAACTTATGCACAAAACTGTAGTAATGTTATATCCGTCAGCTCCCAAAATCTGCTGTGTAGGTGTGGACAATCTATTTGTACCACTCACTGCTGACTGCAAAAATTAATTTTAATTTTGGAATGCGTAGGTAGCTACTGAAACCCCACCTAATATTTTAAATGTGGTGTTTGAGCTTCATTTGGAGATGTGTCAAAATGTAAAGTCGCTGCTATCTTTTTGTTTGTGCTCAGATGTGGCCTGGAGAACAACACTCTGAATGTTTCATCTTGTATTGCAATGAGTGTTGACCCAGCCAAGATCTCGGCATTGATCACTATTCAGACAACAGTCTTTGTACAAGATGAAGAAGAAGACCAAGTCATAATCATACTCCATTCACTGACAGGTAGTAGTGCTCTCATTCTCAAGTAGGCAAGAAGTTGTGCAAATTATGAGGTCAATTTTTACTTTATTTTCAATCGAAGAACTGAAGGTTAAAAACCTGTTCAACTGATGGATACATGAACTTTCTGTGGACAGTCACACTGGATAAAGACCATTCATACTCGAGTTTCATTTCTTTCAGCAGTTAAACCATTGAGGCTTTGACATTTTAAATTGTGCGTAAATCTGCTCTGAGTAATGAAAGTGAAAAAATACTAGTAAGAGATCATGTAAAGAAATCCAAAGTGTCTGAAGAACTGTTTCAAGGTCATTAACTTTACGTTTGAGGCAATAACATATAATTTTCAGGATTTAAGTCTTTCATTTCAAACCATATCTTATATTATTACATCAGGTGCAAGCAATGAAGACCTCAGCTATGGCACGGGATCCAGGGGAGTAGCTCACAAAGAGTATGTTGACCTGCGAGTTAAATTCTCCCCTGCTTTCCTCCGCAAAGACTATGACCTCTTTCTGCTACTCTTCATGGTATGCAAAGGGCAGGAATATGCCAGTCACCAGTATTTACAGGTAAATAGTCTGAACTAGCAGTTTTCTCCCTCTACTGCAGTCTATTCAATTATTTGTACACTTGGCATATTTTGATTTTTAATTTCCCCAACTCTCAAGTTTTAATCTGATATTTGTTGCATAAACCCCGTGAGATAAATGTCCAGAATGAGATGCATCCATCCCATATTCTCTAGAAGTGTTCGCTTAATTCATTTCAAATCCACAGGGTTGTCTGCAAGCACCTTCTGAAGACCGCTACGTTGCACACTATGATGCTACTTTCAACTTCATTCCTCGCATCACAGACGATAATGGAACAGTGGTGATTCTGAACGCTTACAATACTACTCATGTGGAAAATGATGTTCAACAACCTCTCCACATTCAAGAATATTTACGTGAAGAGTCGGGAGAGACTTTGGCAAGTAAGTAGGAGATCCACAAATACCACTGTTGCAAAATTTAGACTGTATCCTAAAATACTGTATCATAATGACACAATGTCAATAAATGTTCCTTTCACATATTCCAAAAGCATTGTGGATGTCATGCTTAATCATAACAGGTGTAATTTTTATTAAGTTAATACAAAAAGTTTGAATCAATAGTGTTTCTGGTCTGGATTATTGTATTCTACACAATTCAATACACCGGTAACATTCACTTTTCATATCTCATCTATCTTCAATTAAGTTTATAATTGAAACATTCACTTTTAACCGAGCTAAAGGTCTGCAACATTATTGTTCATTGTGCCCAAGCAGCAATTTCACACATGACCTTATATGGCAGTGGCTGAAGAATTTTCAAAGCACCTGTCGAAAGTGGGGGCCAAGTCCCTTCGGCCGAAAAAATGGGGGATGGCCACTGACCCCTGGCCTTGCCCCTTTCTACCACCAGTGTTTTATGGTTACAGAGTTTAAGCTCACACTTTTGTAAACTCCTTTCACCAGAACACCACGTTAAAGTTATGAATGCACCATTTTGAATTCCAGTTCCTGTACACCGTTCTACCTTCTACAACCTGGCGCTGTCAGCTGAGTCCGATGTCTACACGATTACTGTGGTCTACCGACTCATCGATACTCAAGGAAGAAAACGACGAGCAGCCTTGCCACACATGCAAGATATCATCTTGGCAAAAAGTGTGGTAGGCAGAGCAGGAGTAGGCAGAACAACGGGTACAATCATCACTCGCCATGCCCGCGATGTTGTAGACAGTGTACAGGCTTCTCACTCTAACAGAATCCCATTCTTGTCTCTTGGATGTCCTGAGGAAGCGACACATGTACAGGAAGAGTTGGACTGCAAGTGCCCAGCAGGAATGGTGTACAGCTCAAACTCCTTCAACTGTGAGGCATTGTCGCTCAATGAAGATGTCAAGGAAGTGAAAGAAGATGATCAGGTCAATGACCTTAAAGAAACAGCACATGCTCAATGCATTGCCTGCCCTATTTCACTCATTTTGCTGGCAAATTCATTGCTATTCCTGTTGTTGAAAGATTATTAGTCAAGCAGACAATGTAAGAAAGCAGTTTTCAAAATGTGCACAATAATATAATTTGCAAAGGAATTCTACCTTGATCAGCAACTTTAATTGAACACCATTGCAATAATGCACAAGACACTGGACATTGGAATCGGCTAGGCATAGTGATTAAGTTGTATATACACATACATTTAAAATCAAATTGACCTTTTCTTGAACATAAATTCAACATAAATTGTCTTCAACAGATTGCAACCTTACATGCTGCTGAATTATTTGCTGAAGTTTACTACCATTATGAAATACATTCATTTACAAAAGGTAAATAGACAATTTAAAGTCATTTTCAAGATTGTTTGGTAACTTTTCACTTAAATCCCAAGAACTTGGTCATATAATGACCTTTGTGTTTCAGTGTTTGTAATTACCTTCCATATTACTGTCATGCAATGACTAGAGCAATATCGCAATATTTCACTGCCACAAAATTGAATTAAAATTTGAATTTTATATTGAGTGCCCACCCATATCCTTCCATCACTGATGTGCAGCATTTTTCAGAGGCTGTACTTTAAATGTTCCAATCAAATGTTGAAAGCATTTTAGCAGGATTCATTTATAAAGATTGCTATATAAATTAACATTTAACAGTCTGTGTGTTGCTCCTTAAAGATGTATATAAATTGAAATTACTTGATAAAGTGATAAATTTCAGTTCTTGTTTAATGTTAAAAGTTATGTCAAAAATAACCAAAAAATAACCGTTCATGTAACTTGTGAAATTGACTTTTCTAGTTCATGTGCACTGTAACACCAAATCAAATTAGACTGTTTTACTGTCATGGCACTTACTGAAAGTACTCGGTTTCACCTTATTTAATGTTTGGATATTAAAATATCATACATTGGCTTAAATTCATTGCTTTATATTTTGTGTACTACTGACTTGCTTGTGATTGAATTAGACTGCCATTTTCATTCCATCAAGTTTCTTTCACAAGTTGGTTTCTTTGTGACATCAGTTGGCAACAAACTGCCAGTGAGCAGAAATTGAAAATAGACTATATCAATACAACACTAAGAGTTGGTCTGCCATACATTACCATCTATGATTTTCCTCTTGAAATTATTAATTCACAAGTGACATGTACACATTACAACTCTGGGCCAACATGGAACATTTTGATGCTAAACTATCTACTGCAGTGTCTCCTTGGCTACACTCCTCGTTGCAGACTACCAGTAAAATGAAGTTTTTTATGAGCTCGTTTTAGTTCTACTAAATCATGCAAAATGGTTGTTTAATCCAATATTTCTGATTAGGAAGAAAGCTGAAGTTAGATTCTCCCTACTTAGTGACTCGGTTCCTGATTAGAATCTTGTACTTCAAAATGCCAGAAGTCAGATTATTTGTGCAGTTCTTGGGAGCTACTTGTTGAGGTTTAACAGTAGTTTATCCAGTTATTTGGTTGGGAGATAAAATGGATTTCTCATCCAAACAAAATGACTGTCCAATTTTTCATCCATAAAAGAATCCTACCCTCCAAGAAAGGTGGAAGGACCATTTTTAGAATGCTGGCACTTTCAATTCTATAAAAGTGGAATTTGCCCCACCCCCTTCTTTTGGGTAAATGCCACATGGTTTAACACACAAGTGTCAAATACAACATTTAAGTTGATTTGGCTTGTTATACAGAGCAATCAGCATAGTAAATGGAAAAGCAAACACTATGATGAGATGTATTTGCTTTGACATCGACAATTTTAAGTTTGTACTGCACTTGAGAAACTCACATTTCATTGATTCTGCTATTCGGTAGTACTGATCCTTATGTCGATTGCCATACACCATCAATGAACTCGCGATTAGAATTGACATTGTGGCGATGTTTAGACTTCTGTATGGTTGCATCGTCATGGTCCTGTAACAATAGAAAATAGAGACTATTTTTCAAGATGGAAAAGATTAAATGATCACAAGCAAGAAAAATGAAGGAAATCAGTTTGACAACATTCTTGAGAAACTTTGTCAGCAACAGATAAAAACGTCAAGCAACCCTGACTTGACAATGTAAGCGTAGTACATTGTGGAATCAAAACTATGTAAGAAAGTTTTTTTACTCGGACCAACCTCATTCTCTGTTTGCATGATCATAGCTCGGTCTTGCCTGCCATCCCACATTGGTGTTGAATACTTGTGTAGCACACTGACTCTGACAGCTGGTGACAATGACTGCTCTAATATGAGGACAATCTTGGCCCACTGAAATGAATTGAATCCTGAGAACATCAATAAAATGCAAACTGACATTTTATTAGCAATATCTGCAAACCCTATAGGACACGCCTGGCATAAATTGACTAATTGGTAATTCAGTTCTTTACCTTCAACTTTAATATCCTGGTTCAATTTCTGAATAAACTGAAATAATTTGGCTTAATTTTTGCAAAAGATTTTCCAAAATATCCAGCTATTCCTCTTCACTCTAAAACTGAATACAAATGTACATATTACCCACTCGCTTCCAAACTGTGGCTGCAGACTCCTCAACAATTACATGATTTTACCATTAAACTCAAGTTGTAGTCTATCAACTTGGCATTTTAATACCTGTCTCTGCCATTCATTCTCTGTCTCGGCTATTGTACTAAACGTACTCCCCATCATAGCAATCAGCATGTTGACTAGAAGTAGTGCCACTAGGACCATGTACACACAGAACAGCAACTATGCAGGAAAAATACAGGGAAAAAATGAGGCAATTTGCCCACATGACTACAATCAGTAAAACATAACATGCTGTTTGCATTTACTTAGGATGAGATTTAGGGAGGAAAAAAGTACTGCGTTAAGTAGAATAGTTGTGTGATGGTGAAACAGAGGTAACCACGTAAGCAGAATGAATGCAGATAAAAATATTGGATAAAGTGAATTTCTATACAGTCATGTACACACACCTTGTATGATGATTAAGAAACCATTAACAGAAAAGGAAGATTTGATACAAGCTAAGGAAGGATGGACACCAGAAAACACAAAACTTAAAACAGAACTAGATTTTAAAGTTAAATCAACTGAGACAGAAGTAAGAGGGAGAGACAAAGTCTTAATCTTAATATATTTTAGTCGTTTTTTTAATATTTACTTTACATAACAAATGCAGATGTAGTTTAAGCTTTGTTCTTTTTGCAAATGATCTAAAACAATCCAAAATACAAAAATTATATTCAAAAGTTGCGCCAAAATGAGAATTGAATTCCATTCCCAGTAACAAATTGAAATCATTTATTCATGTGGAGGCACAGATGAAGTAAAAGTATATTCATAGAATTCACACATACCTTTCCCATTACTGGATATCTTGTTTCATCAAACGTGGCATAAATATCACCAAACTCACCCAGGGACATTACAAACATTCCAATAACTGAATCCAATAGCTCAAACTCCCCCCTGTAGCCAAGGAATACTATATGCATAGCTAAAAAGAAAATGGAAGAACAAGACTACCGTGAAGTTAAGCATTCATTTAACAATCCACTTTCATCAAAGAATGTTCGAAGTATTCTGAGATTAAAGCTTCCTAACACAATTGGTTTGATCTTTTACCTTGGGAGAAACCAAACAGGAAGATGAGATAAATGGCGAGGAATTTGAGAAGATCACCATGAATCATTTTGTAGATCATGAAGATGAATGGACCCACAAGCTTCAGGGCTCTATAAAGTTATAAATGCAACAAAACAAACAATTACAAGGGGATAATAGGTTTGGGCTTATTCAATATTTTATAATAAGCAGTTGCCTGTCTGCCATCTTTTGAGTCGTGACCTCTCCTATTAAATGTTTTTTATCTTCATCTTTTTAAAAAAGGTTGCAAAATTATACAGCTATTATTTCCATTGACAATGGATAATGTCAACATGTTTGTCAGGAGACATGGCATACAATAAGCACTCATATTCATTAACTGATCTTTCAAACGACTCAGCAGTCAGACATAAAAGGAGCCATGATTTACCTCAGGAAAAACAGTGAATAGGGGCAAGCAGTCAAAATGGCAAATGTGATGAAGACATCTTCGTAGTATGGATTGCATGGAGGGATACGGCCAAAACATGCCAAGATGATAAAACAACATGACAGTAGGAACATCGCTTTGGCTGGGGCTAAAACCTGTAGTTCAAGATGAAAACTGTCAAAACTATTTCCTATTGTACAACTATTAATTTCATAATGTTAATAATAATTTCCTAAGCCACAAACAAATAAAAAAACCAGCTAGAAACACAAGAATTACCATAAGTTCCATGAAAGACCACTTTCCAAGGTGGTATGTCTCCTTCGCAGCAAAGAAAAGATAACTTAATGATCCAATCAAGGTGATGATTTCAAAAACCACACGTGCCTGTGATGAAGAAAGGAGCATAAACCTGTTCTTACTCTTGTCAAAGCTGAATAATAACTGAGTGCATTTTTCCGTGTTGATGTAATCGTGTACTGCAAAATAGAAGTTACCTGATCTGTTGATGTGTCTGTATACAGCAAGTAGCATGGCTCAATAACTTCTGTTCCTGCGTCAATCACTGAGCCATTAGGTAGAGTAACATTGTTGTGTACTGTGAATGCTTTAGGGTCCTGCAGGACAGAAAATTGATGAAAGGGACATTGAGAAAAGTAGAACATGTCAACAAATTATTGAAAACTTAAAATACGTAGAGAAAATAATGTGAATTCCTTTTAAACAACTTGCAAACATTTCAAATTTGAAATACATTGTTTGGATGGAGGTTGTTTTTAATGTTTACCTTTCCCGGCCTGAGATAGAATGCAGTTGTGAGTACAGCTAGGTACAGAAGAAAGAATGCTAGGCGAGCAAAGAAATTGAAACGACCAAATGTCTTCCATTTCTCATCCAACAGCTTGTAGATGACACCTTTCAACATCTGAAGATGTTCCTTGCTTGTCTGCAAAAAGTGACAAGGTATTAGAGGGAATTCAGGTCAAAATTGAATTTTATCTTTTTAATAAATACAGTGTAACACATGAATTCCTCAGTTGAAGTAATCTAGGAGACAAGTCAGAATGACAAACTACTTTTAGAAATTCTATACTCTTAAGATATAATTCCAGTAAAATCAATATAAAAAAAATTGTGGTAGAGATTGTCAACTACTGTATGCCTCCCTCTGTAAAACCTGCAGTACAGGTTGCCATCTCCATGTTCTATTCTTCTTGAGCAAACACACAGCCGATGCACATTTTACATGCCGGTGGGCAATGTTCAAACCTTGCATGCCCTTTTGTTCTTCTGAATCAACACTAAATACAACTTACTTGGTTTACAATGAGATGCAGTGATGATTTATTATTGATGGTACCATCATAGTTAATACTGTCTAAGCCATCCAGAGCATATGATGCACAAGTAACATCGCCATACTTCCATGAGAGTTGACGTTCTAAGAACAAAATATGCTCAAAGAGGTCTATCCTATGTAGCTTGGCAGCCAGAGACAAAGGAGTGTACCCTTGATTGTTCTTGATGGTGCAGTCACCACCCAACTCATATGCCAAAGTGAACATATCCTGAGCAAAAAAAAAGTTCACATAATAACCAAATATATATATCTCTCTGGGAATGCAATCATATGTTTTTTAATCCCCTGACAAATATCCTTGAAGACTATCAAAGAACATGATAAAACAGAAAATCCTTTGGTCATTGACATGCATGTCAGCATAAAAGTAAAATTTGAACAAGGATAATACAGAAGGCTGAAGTTTGGAACCAAGTCAAAACATTAAGATGTGACACTAAAATAGAATTAGTTGCTGTTGTCAAAAAGACTTACCTTCTTATCATGTAAAACCATCATATGAAGTACAGTGTTCCCATTAGTGTCTTGAGCATTGATATCACACCCCTTCACCCACAAAGAACGGAAAATGTGATCTAAATCCAGACAAGCTGCAAACGTCAGTGGTGTTTCTCCCCAGTAGGTGAGTCTAGGAAAAATTACACTATGTAAGTCTTAGGAATAGTCACAATAATTTCAAAATATGTCATTTCTTACCTGTTAGTCTTACTGAACTCAATGGATTGCCTCATGACCACTCTTACAATTAAATATTCTTTACTGCATCCAAAAGGTTTTGCCATTGCTACATTCTCTTTTATTTGTATCCCTGCAGTTTAAACAGCTCTGACAAGCTTTAAAGTAAAATGCAAACTCTTGAATTGCCTGAAAATGTCACAACTGTCCTTTTCAAAGATGCACTCAAAAACCTCAACAATGCCATCCAACACAAATTTCTCCCATCTTGCTTGATATTTATTAATATTTGTATACTCACCCTTCATAGTTTGTCTTTTTGTACAAAATGAAGTGTTCATGGTTAAGTGAGTCCTCACACCAAGCCTTCTGGTCATCTGGCCTGAAGAACCTTCCATAACAATGAACATTCAAGTCAGCTCCATTCTCAATCAGGAACTTGATCATACTGATGTTCTCATTTACAATAGCTTTATGTAAACATGTTTCACCTGAAATGTTCAAGAAAGTGTAAAAAACATAAATTCTTGTAACTGGTTCATCACCTGAAAACAAAACTCTTTTTGTAAGTGCAGTAGTCATAGGTCTGACCCTGACTTTTTGTTAGGGGGAGGAGTTGGGGAATAATAATGGAGTTGCTTTCTTTTATACGCATTTATCAAAATATTTCACCGATAACTGAGAAAGTGCAGCTAACAAAGCACCTACATGTAAATACAGTTGATCACCATAATTGGATTAAAAGCCAACTACAGACAGCTAGCCCAGTAGAGTCAAGGTTCTGAGATTATAGAGATGAAAAGACCTCCTTGAGGTAGAATTTGGTATTGCATGATGCAAACGTATCATACTTACCATAGTTTTCAGTTCCTAGGATGAAGTCATTTATCATCTTTGGCCATGCTTTTATGAGTTGTTTGGCAATCTCAAAGTTAACATCTTTATTGTGGGGACTCATGAAGCAAACATGGAGTAAGGTCTCTCCAGAATAACCACGTCTGTCAATGTCCCAGCAAACTTCTCGCTGGGCCTCTGAGGAAAACAGAATTGCACAGATCAATAATTAGCATGTCCTCAAGAACATAACTTTTGTTCCTATGTCAACAACATTCATCTTAAAACCTATTGAGGCTTACTCAATTTTATTCTTTACTTGGCTTCATTATTTCTCAATTTGTCCATTTTATTCAACTGCACTATTAAGTACTGTGAAATAAATTGTATTTCTCATAATTACCATCCTCAATACAACCACGGTCATCATCATTGTAATCATCCCCGTTATCAAAATTCTCTATCATTATCAGTCTCATCACCCTCCATCATTACAACGTACTCTACACGTACAAATCAAGCATCAGCTCCATATCACCATTTAGCATATTACCACCATCCCCACCATCATTACTATTCTTATATGGTGATATCATTGATAAGAGCAGTCTACTTTTTAAGTAAAATTTACTGAATATTTTCAACTTCATTCACCCTGTTCAGATTTAATCTTGTTAGCACTCCCTAATGATGATCCAGTCACCATGGTTTTCTTCAACTTCGCAATCGGTCGTCTCTTCTTCTTTTGATCTCTAGCATCAACAACATCATTATTGATCCAGTTATCCTGGTTTCTGATTTTCACTAGTGCTTTAATTGATGTCATTTTCCCACTTCCATCATCATACAGGAATTTGCTGACATCGCTCCCGCGTATCTTATCCTCAAATGCCGCCTGTGAAACGCGTGACTTGCTGGCCTCCCTTGCCAAATCAACAAGATCCTCATACAGCTCATAGATTTCCATGCAAACATTGGTTTGACTGTCATTTCCATACTTCACATCCTCCTTCATTTTGTGTCCTGATCACTAGCAAAAATTCTTTGTTACAAGTAATTCTCACAACACGATCGAAATTGTCTTGCTTCATTGATCATCAGAAGCAGACAGAATCGGGTCACACCACTGCATCCATGATGGAAGTCATGTCGGCTACAGGAGAGAACGGAAAGCTTCTCATTTACTCGCTCGCCAAAGCTGGTCATCATCATTTACAACTAGCAGCATCATATCCCATCCTCGACTGCCACCGCACAGCGGCGTGCTCATTACACACACCGTGTCAACCTCATTTGCCTATCAAATGTCATGCTCCTAGCTGTGCAATCTATCCCCTAACAACCGCATAATGAGGTACACGGACCACGTCTAGCAACGACCCTCGTACCTTCACCACGCCACAACATAGAGCCACCTGCAGTGCAAGCGCGCGACGCCCACGAAACGGCACAACTCTGCTCAAGTTGTCAGGCTGTAAAGTTCGATTCTGAAGGTTCAAAGACAACGATACGTTGCCAAGATGATGAACACATCTATGCCGAATTCCACTACGTGGAATGTTAAAAGAAGGAGAGAATTTAGTCAACTTAAACCTGGAACGGAACTTCCGGGGTAAGGAAACTTACTTTAAATTGAACCATTGTATTTGAGGTTATCATAATGCAATCACATTTTACGTGGATATAATTGATTGATTGAAGTATTGCACCTGTATTGGTTACCGTAGCCGTGTCAGTGACCATGGTGACAACAGTTGAATTTTCGATATATTCAATATTTGCTAGTAACGTTGGGTTGAATGCTTTCACCATTTGTAAATAAATCTCAAGTGAGATGCCAATTCTTTCACAATTTACCAATGACATGTATGTACATGGTTTGACAGTGATTGATATGAATAATATAGTGCAAAAGTGATGTGTTTGTGAACTAATGCAATAAAACATTAAAATAAAATCATTTTCCTTTTGGTCAGTAAGATAAAGAAACTTGCTATTTCTTATTATTTTACATGTAATTACATTATTTGATCTAAAGAGATTCATTTACGTTCAGTATCAACCATGATTCTTTTAATGTGTGTTATTTCAGGTACCGAGGTTACATAGAGCAATACAAGTATCATGTTGGTGATACATATGGCAATGCTACAAATAAATTATCTGAGGTAACACATTTGCATGTACATGTATTTCTTATATGCAGTATGAAACTTAAAAGTTTCAGCCAGGAATAACATTCATTTTTTTGTGCATTAAGTATAGAATTTGTCCAGAGAATTGCTGTGCATCCCAAGGAATTTTCTGCATGGTGGAAATATATAAATGTTTAATTTTAGAACGTCTAGCCACTGTAACCTAACCAGCGGTTGGACTCATACAATCCATGTAATGTACTAATTATAATAGTTCACATGTCAAAATTCAGGACTGTATGTGTGAACGTATGATAAAAACTGAAAATAAGTGACCATTTGTCTATGAATGTAAAATGTATGGATGATTCAGAAACTTCAGTTATGTCTACAGTCGTATTTGACTTTAGTTTTTGCCCCGCCACTTGTTGGACTGACCTGAAATGTGAAAGAGTTACTGATGTGAGTGACCTGACCCATTACGCACCAAGTCAAAAGCTGGTGTCCTAACTTTCATGTGTATTAAGCTAACCAAGAGAATCTTTTATCTGCATGCAGTTTTCAAACGCGTTCTTTCAAGTAGGCTTATGCAACATTATACTATATTGAGACCCTTTTCTGTTTAATTTATAATTTATAGTCATGGAGAACCAGGCATCCAGCATATACAGCCTCTCCGCAGAACTATTTTGATCCAAAGACAACCTTTGTTGGAACAGGTCTAAGTGGTCCAGAGGATGTGGAAGGGAGTGGTACAAGACGAGATCTTAAACTTCCTAAATCAACAGGAGACAATAAGCTGACAGAGAAAATGGTTCCTGGATACACAGGTATCAGGCACATTTATTTACACGTATTTTGTTATTTTCATATCAGGTGAAGTTCTAACCCCACCCGCCCCCCAAAATTCTCTCATATTCCTTTATTGATGATAATTTAGTTCATATATTTACTTAAAGGAAAAGAATTTCCCCCAGCTTTAAACACACTCATATTGTCAAGAACTTGTTTCTTACCGCTAGCCCTTCCCTTATCAATTTCCTGATTAAATTAAAATTATCAAATGCTACAAGTTTTTTGGGCCTGTTCTGAAAACCCTTTTCCAGTATACATGTAGCTTGATAAGCCACAACAAAATCCGTTTTGTTTACCTCGATCTCAAAATACTTTTGAATGTAGCCCCCTTATGTACATATTCATGTACTTTTTCACCTTAAATGCTTCGCATTACAGGCTACATTCCCAGAATGCCATTCAAGTTTGGCAACACCTATAAGGAAGATTGTGATGTCTGCATTGATGACTTCATGAGGAACACCAAGGAACATGATACCAAGGTGCACACATTACGAAAAGCACAAACGCAGATCAAACCACTACGGCCAATGGTAGATGAAGGGACAGTTATCCACCGATTAAACCAGTACAGGGACAGACATCCGACTTCCAAAATACTTCTAGGTTGGTGATTGTTCAAAATGTTAACAGAATTTAACCTTACCAGTTCTCCGAGTGGATTGAGTTGTAATTTAATCTTAGAAAAGCTTTGTTTGATACCTCCATGATTGTAATACGAGAAAGAGTTTTCTCGATTTTTTTTTCGGTTTTTGTACTTTACTTTTTAAATTCTGTAACTGTGGTAATGACTTGGCATTGCTTTTTAAATACCACTAAAAGCAATATGTAATTCATAAAATATTCATCAGATTCCTTTTTCGAATTTCCAAGTACGCTCAATATAACATGGTGAATTCCTTCCCTTTCTCAGAAGACAAACGTGCATCTAGAGAAGCCCCTATGCCAGGGTACAAGGGCTTCATTCCAAGACAAGGTGTGTCTGAACTGGGCCTAGGTGCTCGCTATCATACCATCTGTGATAAATCTTTCAATACCTTCTATGATGAGACAGAAAGGCATGCAGAGAGAATTGGACAAGCCTACACTCCCAAGTAAGCTAGAGTTTGTGTGTTTAGAGTTTATACATAACTTTACCATGTCATGGTCTAGCTAGGCTAGTACATGTACCCTTGTTTTCATCACTATAGTATGAACTGATTTTTTGTTTAGATGTTAAGGCTATAAAGTGCTCTTGTTCCAACCTTTAGCCCTCTTGTTCCAACCTTTAGCCCTCTCTTGTTCCAACCTTTAGCCCTCTTTATAATTGAACAGATTGTGAAGTAACTGCCTGAGATTTTTTGTCTTCATTCTTTTTGCATCATTTTTCTTTTTTCAGGACCATGCTTCCAGATGACCAAGCAAAGGCATCCATCCAGCTTACCAAAGAAGACAGAGATGTCTTGATGCAGAGACGTCTTTACAAGCAAATTGGAATGGTGCCCAAGTACACAGGATACCTACCACGTGAGCAGGATTCTAGAATTTCATAGTGCCTTCTTTAAATGTGGTAGTGGTGTTACTCAACTGAGAATTTAAATTGTTTGAAATCTTTCAACCATTATCATTTATTCAAAACGGTAACTCTAAATTTCTCTTTTTCTATTTAACAGAGATTCGATTCCAGTTTGGCCACACTTATGGTGATACGACTCGGTCCCTGCCTGTGTGTTTCCATGAGCAGCCAACATATGGTCAGCATTTGTCCGTCGTTCAACAGTCAGTTTGAACCTAAAGAATTTTGCAGATGCCATGAATTTTGTTCTATCATATCAGTGTGTCTTTTATCATCTCCAGTCAAGGAGACAGGAAACCTTAAAACTTATATTAGACACAACTTCAACTAAATATTCCCAATAGTTGAAAGAAACACCTAGGACAGTCAGACATGTAAGTACATCTATGCATACATTTGTACGTTAATGAGCTGCCAGTTTTATTTTGCAACTTTCAAGCTTCAGACAACACAAATTTGTATTTTATTTGTACATTTTATCTTTGAGTGAACTGCATACAATTATTAAATTCAAAATGTGCATCTTTCTGTGTTTCAAAAGTGCAGTATTGCAGACTCTACTGGAAGTCTGTCAACCTTTCATAATGTATGCTAAATTTTTACAACCTACTCTACAGCTTCCCATATCCTTAAACCTATATCCCATAAACCTTCCCATACCCAGTTTAGTTCAAGAGGAGGTTTGTAATACAATCAAGACACTCATCACCTATCTAAAAATCTAAGGATCAATCCAGTTTTGTTCCCTTCAGTTCATTTGAGAAAAGTATTCACAATAATGCTCTTATCAATATTCAACATCATTACCAAACCACAGTTGTTTTCTTTTTTTTTTCTTTTGTTTTCAACTGCACGTCCATCATGAAAACATTATCTTTCAACTTCAATTAATTAACCACTAGATGCACGTGCATTGAACAGCAATCTTGCATAAACTGAAACACATTTACAAAGGTGTCAATGAAACAATGGTAAAAACAGCTTAGCTTAAATGACATAGTTCTATATTTATACATACATTTTACATGATAGACTGCCAAGGTTGTTAACATTCTGTACCTGTTAGAAAGTAAACTCCACTTTGTAATCTGTTGGACTTCATTAGATTTTACTTTTTTTCACAAATGCAACTTTTTTATTTTGTAATTAAAGTGAATTTACTAAGTGGTATTGATCAAAATAAATATAACAAAAAAATCACAATACCAAGATAAGACACTTTTTCATGGATAGAACTTTGAATGCTTGATACCAGTTAACAGTTTAGATGTGGTCAACTTCAGATGTTAAATGTTGAAAAATGTTTGGATATGATCAATTTCTGTGTAATTTACTGTAAAAATTAAAGTGTGATTACAGTGACTCTAAGATTTCCATTTTGTTGACTGCAGTGCTTTTGTTTCTGATATCCAGCTGTGCTCCTACTTTTTCTCTTTGGGCACCCTTCCCATTAAATAAAACTCTTTATTTGGTCTCATATCTGTAAGATGAGCCATTCGATTTGACAATGCAAACAAAGAAGCAATAGCACCAATGTCCCAAGCATCTTCACGGTCCAAGCCGTGTGCTTCTAGTTTCTTAAAGTGTTCTTCTGTGATAGTCTCAGACTTGCAGACAGCAATGGCAAACTCCACAATCACTCGTTGTCGGGAGTCCAATTCAGCACATTCCCAATTGGCTGCAATCTGAAGATGTGGAGATATCATAAAATACCTCTTTTGTCAAACTTTGCAAGGAAATGCATTCCATGAACATGTACAACACGGCATTAACTTTTCACATTTGTAGTATTAGTCTCAAGACCCACTTTAATAATCCTTACTTAAATGCTATATTCTTAAGTGCACATTTTTAAATAGCATTTACAGGTGTAAAATGCATTGTGAAACCTACTTCAGTGAACCAGTCTGGTATTTCAAACAGTGAAGTCATTTGGGAACAAAGCACACATGCGAGTTTGTGTAGGGTGCACTGGTAGGACAGACCTCAAATTGCATGCACGTCTGAATGACATTGGACATTTTCAAATGAATCGTAACTACAGGGTCACTTCGATCAATTATCATAGTTAATCATAGTTCCACTAACTCTGATGGAATGCACATTAGTGAACAACGGTTGTACAAGTCTAGTCAACTATTCACGACCAGCCTGTCAAGGTTGATCGCATCGTTGGTTGACATGAACCATTTTCAATAGCACAGTGCAGAGAGAAACGACCCTTTTCACTTTTCTTTTTGCTATTCTGCACTTCCTCAGGCCACCTCTTGTCCCCTTCGACCTAATGACCTAACAACGTTGGACTGGGGTCATTCATAATTCAACTTCACTGTACATGATGCACAAACCAACCACTAGTTAACAAGAGGTCCTTGATCAAATTTGCCCATAGATGTTCCTCACCTGGTCAGCTAGAATACGATTCTTGGAGTAGATCCTAAACAGTGCTGAGTGAGATATGATGCAATACAAGCAGTTGTTGACTGAGCTGGTAGCAACAACGATCATTTCTTTATCAGCTTTAGTGAGTGATCCTGTTTCTTTTCCCATGATGACATCATAATACCTGAAAAAAGCTCGGAATTCATCTGGCCGGTGGGAGAGTGCTTTGAAGACATTAGGAACAAATCCACTCTGAAAGCAATGAATAAAGTCATAAATATATGAATCTATTTCAGCCAAATCATTCACATTTTCAGTATAAGTAACAATGCACAAACAACTCTTTTGCAAATATATGTACATAAAGCTCAAAGGTTTGCCCCTAAATTGCTCATTTTTCCTTGAAAAACATTCCAGTACCATTCTTTCACCTGTCAAAACTTTTATTCTTTGAGTTGATTTCATTTTCCCTTGGTTGAGTGCACTTTAGAACGTTAAAATCAGAAATAGGCAAAATACAATGGGGCATCTGGCAACAGAATTCTGTATGGATCGGATGACAGGTTGTATCCAAGTCTTGCTCTGAGAACAATGCTAACAGTAGTTTGTTTTAATGGGATCCTTGCACATGTAAAGTGAATTTGTTGAGCCTGTTACCCTCTCTGCAACTTCGTTAATGGTATCTTGCATGTCTTGTGGTAAGTCCTCTTGATTGGGGACTGGATAACGGCTGATTGGATGTTCAGTTCCAATGCAAAACCCCCGGTGTCCATGGGAAATGGAGCTCCCTAACATCACAGGAGCCTGATGAAAATGATCAAGTGCAAGCATCTTTGTCATGACAGTCTCCACTTCTTGTAAGATTGGTTAATTTCAGTCACATCCACCTTTTTCAATTAGGTAGTGAACTAATTTAAAACTTCCAAGCACCTTCAGAACATCAATGTTCACATATTTCAACACAATAATTAAACTTCACTTATTTTTGTAAATAATTAGGGCCTATATAGGCCTACAATTGAGGTTGTACAAAACTAACACATGGTGCTGCACTAATAAAATGAGTGACACCTGTGCGTGCCTTCAAAACTCCCATAGCAATAAGCTCCAGTCTAATTACATGTACGTGTACATGCAAGTTTCTCCTTGTTCTCTTGATGCACAATTTTGTCAAAACTTACAGCATCGACACCCTAATGCCCCTAATGTGCCTAATGTTAGTCAGTACCCTTTCGATCATCGGAAATAGTGTATGTCTCGTGAGGCAGATGCGGACTCCCCAGTTCTGGGGGTAGCAGGACGGACGTCGGGGGTAGTGTAGTCCAAGTTTAATACTAGGCTCAGACTGGGGGTAGGCCCACGGACATATATAAAAAAAACCCTGGACTTGCAACGCCTTTATATGAAATACATGAAATAGAAGCCAACCAGCGGCCTTTTACCAAGCCGAATACAAATGGGTGGGTTGGCTTGCTTCTATTGATGCCAGGGAGAACAAAGGCGGGCATTGCTGGGCAAACTTAATTTGTATTCGGCTTGGTAAAATGGCCGCTAGTGGTTTTAATGATCTCTATAAGCTGATTAAGGGCATTGCGAGTCCTGCTTTTTTTTATATACGTCCATGGGTAGGCCTAGTGTATGTCATGGGAAAGAATCAGGGAACAGGGGCAGATCATCGGGGGGGTAGGGTACACGCCCCACCCCCTTTTCAAAAAATTAAATAAATAAATAAATAAATGAAAAGGAAGAAAAGGGCAAGCAAAGAAAAGAGAGGGGTCATACCATCTGAAATTGCACCACAGAGTGCCTAGAATACAAAATTGCTCCAATCCCCAAACCGAGTGGATACTTTTCATACTACCTCCATGGTTTCAGTTCACCCCCCCCCCCTTTTGAAAAATCCTGGGTCCGCCGCTGTATGGGGAACCTAGGCTTGTCCTCAATGTTTTTTCCTTCCTCCATGGATCAAGTATCTAATTGTTTAAATACCTTCGCCATCCGTCGGAAGTGATTCTCACTTTTATTGAGAGAGATGAACGGTAAGATTATCAGCTGAGATCTTGAAATACTACTCCAGCAAAGCTGGCGACAAATTGCGCGCATGGTGAAAGGGGCCATGTTAACATCGGTCTGGTTTCCCTCTTCGATCATTTCAAGGATCTGGGAGTACATGTACATTTAAAACGTTGAATCTAGAGGGTCCAGTCTGTTCTGAACCTTGCATTGGTGTATTGCCTACTGTGTCACTCAGACTAGACCGTGAAGAAATACGGATCAAACTGATGGCGAATTCTAGCCTCTTTTGCAAAATATTAACGAGGACTGGTTTAAAAGTGAGTAATTAACTTCCTCCTTTTTGTATTTGTATGTCTATCTTTCCTGTTACTTTTGATTGTGATAACGCATAATGCTATGTGGCAGACTGACTCTACCCATCCCCCTGGCATGGCAGTGGCACTGCCACTGGTAGGCCTACCCCCCAGAACTGTGGGGTCCGACGCCCGCTGCGCTCCCATGAACATAGAAGTGGAGCGGACGTACGTTGGACCCCACAGTTCTGGGGGTATGGCAGTGGTACTGGTACAGTGGTAGTAACTATCGTGGCAGGCATCGTGGTCCCACTCCCACTGGTAATGACACCAAGAATTCCTCAAAAGCACCCCAGGCACTGTAGCTCGCAAGCCTGAATAAAAACCTGAGGCTGTAGAGAGGAGACAGTGAGAAGCAGTTACAGTTTTAGAGGTAGGAGGAAAACCCCAAAGGAATATTCTGGGTAAAACCCGCGGAATCAGGTAGGGACTGAAAACCAATCCACATGTGGACTGGGCCAGGATTCGAACCCGGGCCGCAGAGATGGAAGGCGTTGAGAAAGAATCACTACGCCAACCTGACTCCCCAAAATCTTGAAATCATTTTTTGTCACTGTAAATGCTGTTATTAACATTTACTATTCAAACATTACTTTTCACAGTTACCATCAGTCCACTTACTAGTCAGAACACTTGCAATAAGCCAAGCTTGTCAAAAACCTGTGGTAAGTTAGAAAATACAAGTGTTAGAATTCAGATTGTCTTTAGTGAGTTTTGGTTACTTTTTCCAGTTAAACCTAATTCAAAGTGTTAATAAAAGTGGTTAGTATGGAAATCTGTCTAAACAAAACAATATTAAAATTATGAAGATCATCCAGTGGCCACGTGGTCTACAAGAGAATTAAACATTTATTTATGTCTTTTGGCTTCTTTTAGGCCTATAGTCCAGAGCCTTAGAGGGGCTGTGTGGAGTGCCCTCACAAAGGACATGTTTGTTATTTAGATTTATATGACAAGAAAGGACTATAGGGTCTTTTCAAGCATATTACACAGGAACCAAGACCTGTCCTCTGTGAGGGTGCTCCATGCAGCCCCTCTATTGCTTGTTTTTCATATAAAAGAACTGTTGCTTCTCCTATTTCACTCTTAGCCTGCTTCTTTTTCTCCTTGCTTCCTAGACCCTTAATTGCTTTTTTACTTAAATATGTTTGTGATGTTCCCAGGCTCCAGTAGCTGAGCCAGACACCAAGAGGACTGTCACACTAATCCCAGGGGATGGCGTTGGTCCTGAACTTATGTTATCTGTCAGGGAAGTGTTCAAAAGTGCAGAAGTGCCAGTAGACTTTGAGGAATTATTTGTCAGGTACTGGTATGCCAACATTTATGTAATTTTTTGATCACTGCTGTGCAGTTTTGAATTAATACAAGATCTTTTCTCCTTTAAGCTGAACAAAATCTTGCATAATATGTGGTGTTATAACACTACGTTTCAACTTATAGCACTGAAAATGGAAATTACTCATGATTTATACATTGCAGGTTTTATTTTCAATATTGCTTAGAACTGGTTGATGTCATTATGTATTTTTTCTTTCTGCAGTGAGGTACAAGTAGGGAAGAGTGCCACTGTAGGTGATGTCATTGATTCCTTTAAGCGGAACCAGGTTGCCCTCAAGGGAATCATTCACACACCCTGGGGAGGAGGTGGTGAGCTTCAGACACTCAACATGAAAATCAGGTTTGGTAACTCTTGAAGTCAAACATCACAACACCAATGAACATGTACAATTATGAACACTCAGAGGGAGTACATGTACCTTTCCTATTTGAAACTTGCACTTAGAACTGCTAGGTAAAACGAGGGCCAAATTCCATGGCTTAATGTATGTACAGAGTCTTCACAAACCATTATTAACCATAGAAAATGTAGGAATTTAGATTGTGGATGTGTTGTTTCTTCTAAGAGCTCGTAGCAAGCTCAGGATGTTTGATCACATAAAGTGTGTATTTGTTTGCTAATTAAGCACCAACTGATTGCCGTCTCTGGAACTTTTCTGTTAATAACTGTATTAAACACATCTTATGACTTGACTAAAATATTTTTCCCTGACAGACGAGAATTGGACCTATTTGCCAATGTTGTTAGGTGTCGTACTCTGCCGGGCATTAAGACAAGACACACTGGTCTGGATTTTGTTGTAATACGTGAACAGACAGAAGGAGAGTATAGTGCATTGGAACATGAGGTAATCCTGCATTGTCTATGTTTGCAATGATCATGTGACTGTATGCCTTATGTATTGAGACTCGGAGATCACTTTCGTAAGTTTGAAAAGAGTGGATATTATTTATTTGTACTGGCGTATGGATTCTTTTTTCTATCAGAGTGTTCCTGGTGTTGTAGAATGCCTGAAGATTATTACAAGAGCCAACTCAATGCGGATTGCAAAGTTTGCTTTTGATTACGCCAGAAGAAATGATCGTCAGAAAGTTACTGCAGTACACAAGGCAAATATAATGTGAGTACTCTTCACGCTTGGATGACAGATTTTATCATTTTTGCTTCGCTGCATCAGGTTTGACAGCCGACGAGGCATAGACTTAATGATAGCCCATCCTCTTAGGCTGCTTGAAAATCGTGATGTCTAGGCAACTCGGATCAATCAGAAAATTAATTGGCTAATGTTTAAGATTGATGATACCATACAGTGCTTTATTATCCTTCGGGTACAAATATTTGTGAAACACAAATGTTATGATCGAGCCAGTTATTTGTTATGCTTAAATATCCATTGCACAGGTTACCCTGTTGTCACTTCTATTCCTGCAATATCAATTAAATTCTGTTTTCTTTTCTAGGAAACTTGGGGATGGTCTCTTTCTTGAAAGCTGTCGCCAGATCTCAACTTTGTACCCTAAGATCCAGTTCGAGTCTATGATTGTTGACAATTGTTGCATGCAGTTGGCTTCCAATCCTCATCAGTTTGATGTGCTGGTCACCCCTAACCTCTATGGCAACATTGTTGATAACTTAGCGGCTGGGCTGGTTGGTGGAGCAGGGGTGGTTCCTGGAGAAAGTTACTCCACGGAATTTGCAATATTTGAGCCTGTAAGTTGATGGGAAATTATATCAATGTAAACAAAATAGAATGAAGTCAAAAGTTTACCAAGCAGAAGACATTTGCTAGAATTTACGTTTTGTGTGATAAAAACTTTCACTGAAAGTGTATTGCTCTTTAGATTTGTCTCAGATGCCTCTCATGGTGTTCAATTTATTTTAAACATATATTTTCATGCCTTTGATCATAATGACAATGTTTCTTTTGTTTCATGTCAGTGTTAATTCAAATTTTGGATGTGTATGTCGATTGGGCAAGTTGTTTAAAGTCATGATGGGAATTCTTTATTTGATTGGTCAGGGTGCTAGACATACCTTCTCACAAGCTGTGGGGCGTAACATTGCTAATCCTACAGCTATGTTTCTCTGTGCTGCCAACATGCTCAAACATCTTCAGTAAGTGTATTGTCCAAATCATTAATGACATTTTAATCTTCTGAGGCTCTTGGTAGAGTCTACTCGTTCATCCTGTTGGCCCGTAGAATTTTACTCTTTCATCAGTCATTTATCAGTATGGCTTCAAAGGATGCCCAAAAGTGAAAAAACAGTTTGGCTCAACAAACACTTCAAAATCTTCTTTCAACTGTAGAAATAAAAACAGGAAATTGATGGCTACATTATATGAGTGTTTTCTTTTAAGAATCTTAGATGTTGCATTGTGTAATTGTATGGTTTATAGGCGATGGAGACACGTTAAGATCTAGTTTATTACTGACCCCTTACATAGAGGCATCATGGTCAAGACACATAAACGATGTAGATATCAAACACCTGTACCCATTTTAACAATAAACCACAAACTATCTTTTGTAACTCTTTCCCTTTTTTATTGAATTACAGCATGGATTCGTATGCCAAGCTCATTCAAAGAGCAGTGGAGTCAGTTGTCAGTGCAGGCAAGGTGAGTTCAGTCAAGACTTAGATTGCTCAGTGACAATTGCGAATGGAAATACCTTCTGACGTCTATAAATTATCTTCATTTCTGGGGCAATTTACACTAAATTTCAAATTCGTACTCACCTGACTGTGATATGAATTTCAGTACCAATCCTTAAATTTCAAAGAAGCTAGAGCAGTTACCTTCATCATTCATTTCTTTGCCTTGATACCCCTAAGAATTTTTCCCAATTTTGATTTTTTTAATATCAAGTACTTTGCTTTCATAAAAGCAGTATATTTTTATGTTTTATTTGCATGCAGATGCTTATTTTTCTTTTGTGTCTTTTCTTGACTGAAGGTACGCACACAAGACATGGGTGGATATGCCACAACCAGTGAGTTTACAAGTGCAGTTGTAAATAATCTCAGGTAAACAAGCATCAGTAGATGGTTTCATCAACTGCAGGATAACATAACAAAATCAGTTTTGTCAATAACAGTTGATAATACCCATGACTATCTTACTTGGCTCTTAATCGTTTGATATCTCAAAGAGTTGTACTTATGATTAATTTTCTGAAGGTTGCTGTGGAAGATTTTTTGTATGAAATATTCACAGTTTTGAACCTGTTACTAAAATCATACATAATTGAACTTGCACCCTACTCTTTAATATGAAATTTTGTAGCACCCCATAAAGAGTCATTCAGAGAACAGCGTTTTCATTGTTTGGAATTATCTTTATGACTTTTAAATTGAAATGAATTTTTGCTTTTTCTATCATTGTTCATTTTGGTATTGGACTACTTAGAGAATTTTTCCCAAAGTTATTGATTGGCTACTCTCCTAACAAAGCCACTTGCATCACTCTACTCCTACTACATGTAATCAGTATTAAAGCACCTGGTGTTTATCTTAGATTTGCAGCAGAATATTTAAGGTCCTCTTATTCCTTTGAAAAATGTATCGTGAGAACAACTCTCTTATGTCTTTGACAGTGAATTTAGTTATCATCCACTGCATACTGTAAGCACAAAGGATAAAAAATATGTTGTATAACTTTTATACAGTGAGGTGGCTTTTATTTATTTAAGATACATTTAAAGTACTTTTACGAGATCAAAAGTTGAGAATGGCATTTTTTCCAACCCGATTGGATAATTAGATTTATTGAAGTGTTACACCTGTGTGTTTGGTGTACCTCACACCATTTGTTGCAATAAAATATTGATATAAATGTACCTGTATAAGTTTCTGAATTTTGGAAAATATTCTCTCCTATCCACCCCATTACATTCCGTAGGAACTTACATCTACGCATATGTACACGTACATAAGTATGTACATGTCCATGTACATACATGTACGTGAGCTAATCATTCATGCGGTGCAAGTACATGTATGTACCACCGTGGAGGAAGGACACTATGGGTGCACGGAACCAATTCAAGCTCCATTGAAAATAGTGTAAAATCAACCAAGTTTGGAGCCCCATGGCAGGCAACTGAGGCCTCTCAAACAAAAAACATGTTGTTTGGTCCTTCAGATTTCATGCTATTTTCAATTTCTAGTTGGTTAACCAATGATTTTTTTAATTATCCACCCAAAACAAAGTCACCCTCCAAAAAGTAAATGTTCCCAAGTCTTCTCAGCGGCCATTTTTCAAATGACATCCCTCACCTTTTCGGGGGCTCTTCTGACAAATTTTCAATCACATTTTTGTCTGCTTTTCTCCCAGATGAGTGCCCCTGAATTTACAGAGATGATCCCGAGCCAGACTGACACAATCCCACCATTTCTTGGCTCAAACAAACCCTTCTTTCGAAAGAATCTGGGGGGGGTACTTAATGTGCGCCTACGCCTGGAGGAGAATTTTCCTCGAATTGGGACACTACCCTGCACTGCACCCCTTTGGCAAGTACACTGCACACACACGCCGTACCCGCGGTATGTGTCATCGAGGGTCGGGATCAAACCATTACACAGAGAGGGAAGCTTGATAGGGACGCCATGTCAAATGTCATGCTGCCCGTGAAAAAGGTGCTGAATTTATCACATAATTGCTAGAACGTTCTTTTCACCTAAGACTGTGATTACTGATTAGTTAGTCAGAATAATAAAATCTCCTTGACCATTAATGTCATATGCCCAACCAAGTTCACTAGTGGTTTCATCGGTCAAGGGTCGAAGTTAGGAGCTAGCTAAGTAAGTCTAGTCATTTACCACATTTACATGTACGTCACTGCCATGGTGAACTCCCTTGTAACGTTCCTCCCGAAACTCGGCTCGGAAAGATTTTAGAACAAACTCTTCTTTCCTTATCTTCGCGGCGACGCTGAGTGCATTCTGCAGATAGAGCAATAGAAATGGCAGGAGTTGTAAACATTGGACCTGTGGATTTTGTGCACATTTTAGACGTGGTGAGTAACCAGCATAACACGTACTCAAGCCTTACAACTTACAGGCCTGCACATTCCTGCTTAGTTCCGCTATTTGGAGGAGGGTGCGGGACTTCGGACTTCCCAGTCAGCGTAGACATGATGTATTAACTATGTATTTGGGGACCTCCTTCTAAAGTTACTTCTAAACTTTTGGGGGATTGTAAATTTGGAGACCCTGTTCTTATATTTAGAAGGGAGAGCTACATTTTAGCTGTGACACTGACATCATGCTCAATAACTGTTCAGGGTTAATGTCAAAAAAGGGCAGAGTTTTGTTTAGAGTTTTGAGGGGAAACTGAGTGTTTAACACGTGCCACATGGTGGATTCAAATTTGCATGGTTGGTTTATCAGAAGGCCTTACATGTATTTTCTCACAATTTACAATTTGAAGTTTCCAAGAAATAGGGTCAGCGTAATAAAGAGAGAGGTACCTTTGTTTTTTGGGGGACTTACCAGTTTTCCAAGATTAAAGTGTCAAAAAAATAGGGGGATACCCAAGTATACACTCCCCAACTTTTGGACAAAAAATAGATCATGTTGAACTGGAGGACCAATTGTGTGGGAAAGGGGTAGGGATTTGATTTTTGAGGAAAATTATGGAGTAAAAATGACCACAGTTATGCAAAACATGCACTTTGACTGGTAAAATATAGGCTGATTTATGAGTTCGAGTATATTCACCCGAAGTTGCACATTTGTGCAGGTCAACCTCTTTTGTGAAATGAAAAAAAATGGAGGGGTCCCAAAATAGATGTATACCAACCCCAATTTACCAGGGAAACAGCATTTAGACCCCTAAATACTTAGAAAATACTTTGTATTTTTCAGACCAGTCGTAAACTTTTGGGTTTGTGTAAAGTGTGCATATCCATGTAGGCCATGGAACTCTTTCCCTTAGTTTAACTCAGGGCATTACAACAGGTGTAATGTTAGATCCAAGGGGGTTGATCACCCCATCTCCCCACCCCTACGTCACTTTGACGCTAGAAAAACATTTTAAAATGATGGAACAGTTGTATTACTAATAAAAAATACGTCCTGTAAGAATTATCAGTAATATTCATAACTTGTGTCTGTCTGCCTGTAGCAGTAAGTCATAAAGAAATCTGATGGGCCTGATCTCCCTGAAAAATTCCTGGTTCTGCCCCTACACTGATAACATACATGTCTTCACTGCCAAAATTGACAGAGAGTGTCACATTTTCTCGGAATGTCCCCTCCAAACTTACTTCACAGTTGTGCAATAAGATTTTCCAAGCTGCAAAGGTATTAGTCTACTGATACACACCTTGTGAGAAGTTTATAAACTGAGGGGAACAGAAGGTGTCCCCAAAAGTAAGGATTACTGAGCCCTCTTTTCCTCACCAAAACCCCCCAGAAATAAAAGGCGCTCCTTTTTAAAAACATTCATGATGGCTAGCAAGGGAACATGTTCTGAATCGAGAAATACCGCATGGTTTTTAATTTCCCAACACCAAACTCTACATGCAGAGCGACAGATCTCTGGGGAAGGGATGCATGGGGATGAAAAATCCTGTAACCATATAGAGGATTCAATTTAAAACAAATACAACAATATTTAGCCCATTTCAACTGACTTAGTACATTTTGAGTACATCCTTACCATCTGGACCTCATGTATGAAGTTGTGATGACGTATGTTTTTTCAACACCTGATAGGTGCTTAACTTGGACTTTCATATATTATTTTGCTCATTATTTCCAGGAAACCAACATAACTCGTCTTGAAGTGGGTCCCCAGAGACTTATGCTTCTGAATAATGAGAAGTTAGTGGCTGGACCTATTCCATGTGTTATTGTTCCACCAGGTCATTACTGTAGAGTCAAAGATCCCATGAGGTAAATGATTTAAAAATTTTTTTCTTTTCACAGTATTATTAATCAAAAAGAAACATATATCTCTTGTGAACTGTGCAAAACATTGTTGTTAAATTGGCTGTCATATTCTCAACTTTCCCCAGATGTAGAAAAATATTTTGTATCTTTACCTTCAGGTTCCTATCTAAAGTATGTTTTTATTCAGATCAAAAAAGTTATAAATAATTGAAGTAATGCAAATTAATGTCTCTTATTCCCATTTTGCAAAGAGACACCTTTCGTGTAGAAGATCAGTTGACCCTATGAGGCTGACAAACAAAGACCAGCAAGAGAACTGTTGTACTGAACACAAGACCTATTTACAACAGAATTAGCAAACATACATGTATGCCGCTTCAGAGAAGTGTACCCAAGCAGATGGAAATTGTATGCCTAGTAACAACCTCTATCTGCTTTATTTATAATTTCAGTCATTATGAGGAGGGGGTGCAGTGTGAGTTGAAACATGGACAGGTCGAAATTCGTTTTTATCAGGTAGAGTAAACTGATTTATTGAAAAGCATCTGCTCGAAGCCTTGTTTAATACAAGTACATGTATAATTGACTCTACTATGACAAATTGACTGAGCTTTCCAAAGCAAAGGTTAAGCATAAATCTAAGTTTGAAAAACTTGAAACTCCAAAAAATGTAGCAATATCCAAAAAAGTTGTAATGATATTTGACCCTTTTTTTTTTATTCATTTCAGGAACCATTTCCACTGTATCCTGGAGAAAAATTAGAAAGTGCTGAAAATTTGCAAGACTTTTCATCACGAGGTAATGTAATAACACCATTGGTTGTTCCCAAGTTTGCAGCTTTGAAGTATAACACATGTAGTGCTCATCTTAAATTTGGAGTTCTTAGAAACTAGCACCATAAGGCTGATAATGAATGAATGAGTGAACATCAGTGCCCAACAACTCTGAATTCCTCTCCACCCAAAAATGTAACTTTACCTGTCAATTAAACAGTTTTCTCCACTGATCACATTCGGTTTTGTCTTGATTTGAAGGTATGCCTAAATACATGGTCATTGTCACATTTGATTGGGATGAACTTGGTTTAATTACAGATGTAACTACATGTAATACTGAGAGTCACACATAATGAGTTTTGAAGGTCCATGTGTGACCCAACAATCATAGAAAAAATAGACTACAGTAGTTCCTCTGTGTTCATTGCTCTCTTCACTACAAATGCTTTAGTTTAGGAACCAATGTGGAAGCAAGCTCTCATATGACATTGTACTAACATGCATGCCACTATTTCTAAACACTGATAAATACAATAAAAGCGCCTTCAACTGTCAACAGCTCACTCACGTTTTCATCTTTGGGAGAGTATGAGACTTAATATATGCTTTATTTTAGGCTATCGCAAGGCCATGCATCCTTTGCCTGTTGTGAAAGTCAATCAAGCCATCCAGCTAAAAGCTGTCCTTGATCATGAGGTTGATGGGGTACAGAGACAAGCAGGTGATCTGTGGCAACTGGAAGGACCTTTGACCTATAAACCCACCGCTGAAGCTGTAAGGATCAGTTGTTGTATGAAGAAAAGTTTTTAGACATTGCCCATGGTTAACATTGTTGCATTGACACATATATAATTTCTGTTAACAATTTAATGGCAACTTGATAGGACAACTTGTGTGAAATAATACCTCCCCTCGTTTAATTGATGTGCAGGTTGTTTTCTACATTTTGTCGTCTTTTTAGGAGATTGTTGGTTGGGTTAATGCAGCAGTCATTGGTCAAGGTCAAGCACTTCATCTCAGAGCAACCCAAGGATTTACTGATAAAGGAATGTAAGGAATAACTATTGGATTTGTCCCAACATTTGGATGTGGCATAAAATTTAACTTCCTGGTATATGAGTGGTGTTTACCCAATATTTGCATATTACGAGTATGTTACTGTTGATTGTATCATTACTCATTGTACTTGTAGTATTGAAATAATGTATACACACCTGTACATCAGATTTACTCTTGCAACATATGTATTTCCCAACAAGTAGAACCCAGCAAATCTGATCTGAGGAAATACCTGAATTGTATGAAGAAATTACTTCCAGATGCAACCTCACAGAGTATGTATTGATAGTGGAGAAATCAGCACTGTCTGGTTGATGAATATTTCAAACCATGAGTTTGACTTGTCTTTTCTGTACTCAGCACTCGTGTGAGTGGTGAGGAATGGTTGGTCAGGAAAGCAGGAGCTTATCTCCCTGGAGTTTATGAAGAGGTGAGCATTGAGTACGTGAAAAAAAGATCTGTTTACATAGGAGAGGATATTAAAAATTGTACTTTGCCAAAGGGCAAATCTAATCTGACATTTAAGTGATGGAACCAGAATATACCTTTTCTTAAATATTGCCTTATTAGTTTATGCAAGCGAATATCACCCAAACGTTATGTCACAGCTGTGCACCTTGTCGTGGGTAGCCTCAGGAGTAGTGCACCTTGTCGAAGGTAGCCTCAGGGACTTGTTTCCAGAATTCTTGGTTGCTTCCATTCAATCCTTTTAGGTGGTTGAGCTGGTATCTGCTTACATCCTCAAGCAAGATGTTGCTCTACATCTTATTGCTGAGCACAATTGTCAAGATGCCTTAGGGAGGCAGCGCCAGGCTGGAGAGGAGTGGATGGTGACAGCTGATGATACTGAAATGTACATCCCTGAAATAGGCGAGGTAACTGGATAGGCGAGGTAACTGGGGCCAATTTCATAGAGCTGCTTGAGCACAAAATTTGCTTAAGCGTGAAAAAACTTTGCTTGATAAACAGAGGTCACCAACCAAAAAAACAGCTAAACACAATCCCAAAACAATATACATCACATGGAATTTCGGCTAGTTACCTGATTTATCAAGTAAGGTTTTTTTGCACTTAAGCAAATTTTGTGCTTAAGCAGCTCTATAGGCGAGGTAACAGGCAACCAGTCTGTAAAATGATTTTGTTATTGTCCAGAGAGTCAAAAGAGCTTCTTTAATTACTCGGATGAAATCTTAAATTTATTTTGGTAACATGTTCCAGACATTAGATAAAAATGTAAGTATTGTTTTGTTGATTCGACAGTTTTTTAGTTACCCAAAATTATTGGTCTAGTGACAGAAAACTTGTCATTTATGAAAATCTGTAAAGACTAGGCATTTTTAATTAGATTTAGTTTGGTCATTGCTGAGCCAAACAGTTGCCCTGAGTACATTTCCATTAGGATTAATTTGTGAAACACGTTGTTGAGCTTTTGTTTAGAAGTGTCTTTGCATTGTCATATTTGTGGTGTCCATTCTTTATGCTGTCTGTAAAGAAAGAAACGTTCAGGTTTTCTGTTACCTTAAAGAGAGTTTACTTTATATCCTTGTAGCAAGCAGTGAAATCTGTTAAAAAGACAGTCCTCGAGAAGGGTCAGTATTGCATCGTTTGTAATCCGGTGGATGAAGATGGGCATTCTCAGCTTGGATGTGAAGAACTCCGTAAAGGTCATACTAGTTTCTTCCTTCATCCAGGTTAGCCTCTTTCTACTTCACCCTGTGATGTTACGTGTTAAGACACACTTCTTCTGTTGTGAAACAGTATCAAATCTGCTGCTGTATATAGTATTTTTAGTTTTGTAAACATGGTGATCTAAGTTATAACCTTTCCAAACTGACTCATTGGATTGTATTTAGCTTTTCCAAGAAATGAGATTGGTTTTTAACTTTTCCCATCCGTCTTTAACACCCATTTGACATGGTTTTGTGTTTCTTTGTCATTGTTACATAATTCTGTCATTATTTCATCCAAGGGGAAAGCATCAAGAGTGGAATTCAAGAGCAGTTTGTGCTGTCTGAAGATCAGGCTATTGTACTGCAAGCTATCAGTGAGTTTGAGGATAATTCAATCCCAGGTAATTAATTATAAGTTCAAATGGCTCACAATACAACTATTAGTCTGTAGTACTTAGGTATTCTTGGACTCACATCTCATCTTAGCA